TTTTTAGTCATGAAATGGTATTAATACATATTTATATGTATTTTCTCAAATTGGAAATTTAGGAATTTAACGGAAACGTTAAGTTAAGAATATTTGTAAGTATCATTGAAAGCGTCATGAATATTAATAATACACATGCTTATTCTTCTTAAACACCACAATTAATATATTAGTTATAATTATTAACATTTGATATTCCAAACTCGTGCAACTGAAATGTAAAATAATAATTATTATGCATATATTGCACATAAGGCTATATCATAATTGAAATTTAATAATAATACTAAATAATTGTATAGATAATTTTTTTTTAAAATGTGTTTCTAGATAAAAAAAAATCTGTAAAGATATAAAATTGTGTTAAAAAAAATATCGGAAAAGTAATAAATATGAAGACATATCATTAACAAAATCATACTAAATCCAAACAAATTGCGTTTTTACTAAAATTGTGCTAAAATTATTTATTTTTTTTAAAATGAATTTAAAGTGGATGTAACTTTTATTAGAAATTCAAATTTCTACTAAATTAGTTCCAATTCTTCTTCATAAAATAATTACATAGTTTTAAATCAAGGAACTGGAGAAATATTCATTAAAATTGGGTCACGATATGATATGACCATGTGTCAAAGCTGTGAAATACTGTTAGGGATTAGATTGCAAATATGTTAATAAATGATATTGCAACATTCATTGTCTATTTAAATTAACACTTTAGAAAAAATCAGGGAATACATTTTTTCAATACAAAAAGCTATAATAATTTGTATGATAATGGGTAAACAGCATTTTGCTTGTATATTTCTTCTTAAATAACAGAAGCATATTTATAATATTCTGGTTTTAAACAGGTTATCGCTTTATGAGATTAACTGGAAATCCATTCTTAGATTTCAGAACTCCGTCGCTAAATAATTGCGGCTCGAAGTCTTGAGAGACAGAGGTTGCATCCTGTACTTGTGAATGATTTTGGCGAGGATGCTTTTCATCTGAATCATCGCGTACTTCCATCCGATGCAATTCCTTATTCCAATGCCGAATAGAATGAAAGACATCGGATCTCGTCCTTTGCTGTTCTCAGCGGAAAATCGATCCGGGTCAAATGTTAAAGGCTTCGAGTAAACATTTACAGACCGATGCAACCGGAAGATAAATATGTTTATATTTGTGCCTTTCGGTATGATGGAATCATCGAAAGAAAAAAGAACTTTGGTGTGCAGAAATATCTATATTCTCATCAATTTACCATTCCGTGTCGCAATCCAATATGCGTTCTACGAAAGGAACTGGACTGTACATTCGAAGACCTTCTTTAACCACGCATTCCATATATAGCAATGCGTTTATATTTTGAGTACTAATGCAATTAACATTTTCAATAATACTGGAGACTTCTTCGAATAACTTTTGTTGGATATCCTCGTGCTTGGAGAGCTCGTAAAGAATACTCGAAAGGAAGCACGTCAAGGTGTGATGTCCCTATAAAATTATATTTTTGTAAACCAAGACTTAGATCCAATCATTCAAGCTTACCGCAGTCAAAATCGAAGCGAGTTCTTCGTTGATGTAACCGTATGGTAAATCATCTTTGAATCGCTCCATTAAAATATCCAATAAAGTGGACTTCTTTTTAATACCGAAATCCGAATCTCCAGAGGTTTCATCACAACTTTGTCTCTTCATTGCCAGCCTCTTTTTTATCAGCGACAGCAGCGGTGAAATTGCATATCTCTTGAAGACGCTGCTTCTTGTAATCGGATGTAAATTCGTCGTTTCTCTTGATTGGAGAAAAAGTTCGGTCCATGCAAACGTCCATATATTTGTAAATGGTATTTCAAAACCTCAAATTTTCCTCCGGATTTTTATCGAAATTCAAACCCAAAATACTTTCTAAAACAAAATGCGATTATTATCATTATTCCAAAATCAATCATATATCTTACCGTATATAATATTCCCAATAACCGGAAAAGGCTTTGGCCCTGAGATTGTTAACATTTTGTACTTCTTGTAATGCATTTCCCATTTTATCAGCAAATACAAAACCAGTAGAAAGCAAGAAGTAAAGATTAGGAAGTCGAACATTGCACCGCCAATGCCTTATGCAACTGCACTGAATGTCTGGTTCATTGATACCGAACATTCACATCAAACCATACGCTTACGAAATACCGATTTTATTCCTCCAAGTGATAAGTATTTCAAATCAAGAAATAAAAGTGTCTACTCTTCTCTTCTATCAATTTAGTTGCAGTATTATTGGCTAATACAATGTTAATCACGTTAATCTATTTCAATTATCATTGAAAATATTGCTATTTATATTTTCTAAATATACATTTTCTAAATTACAATTATTATTTACAAATATTTATTTATCATCAAATAATATTTACACTTTATATTACATCTTAATTATTATTTATTGTTGAAAATAGACAACATTGAGGATGAATAGGAACACTCAAGTCTAGATCGAAGTTTCTCAAACTTTGTTTGTTATATCATAAACGTTGAATACTTTTTGATTCCCCAAATTCTAATATGAGTTTCTCTTATAACTACTCTTTACATCCTCCAGTTTTTCGAAACTTTAATGTTGAAATAATAGTATTTTGTAGACATTTCTGGATTCAGCTTTTTAGTTATATTATGGAATTTCAATTATTTGAAATGTGTGTGCACTTCGTTATCACAGTAACTGTACTTTGGATGTTAATACAAAGTACAGTTTTCATTATAATAAATAATTAATAGCATCAATCTATAATTAAAGAACTCAACGTCAGAATCAAAACATAAGTTCAAGAAAAGTTCAAATGAATTTAATGTTATTGAAATTGAAAAAAAAATTCAATCTCCAGTCAATTTGTTTTTATTTTCTTATTATGTTATTTTGTTGAGTTTGTTGTAATCAATGTTATTATTATTATTATTTGAAAACTTGTTACTTGGTGCGCCTTTATAAAATATAATAGAAATAACAAAGTAACATATATTGTCAACAAAAACAAATACATATAGAAAGAGCTATTGACCGCAGTCTTTTACGAATATTAATATCAAGCTATTAGAATGTTTGAAGAGGTATATTATCTTCTTAAGAGGTTAACGGGAAAGCCGCTCTTGGATTTCAGAAAAACATCGCTATACAATTGAAGTTCGAAGTGTTGCGACAAAGGTTGCATTCTGTAATTGTAGATGATTTTGGCGAGGAGACACTTTATCTGGATCATGGCGAATTTCCATCCAATGCAATTCCTGATCCCAAAACTGAAAGGAATGAAAGCCATAGGGTCTCGTCCATCCATGTTGGCAGCCGAAAATCGATCCGGGTCAAATTTCAAAGCGTTTTTGTACACCTGTTCGGAGCGATGCAACTGGAAGATGAATATGTTTATGTTCGTGCCTTTTGGTATGATAGAACCATCTGAAAGTATAAAAGAAATATTTAAAACTATTGATATAAACTAGTGACTTAAACTACCAACTTCGACGTCATAATCCAACTTGCGTTCTATATAAGTTGCTGGGCTGTATAAACGAAGACCTTCTTTAACCACGCATTCCATATATTCCATTGCATTTATATCTTTAGTACTGATGCATTTGTCATTTTCAATAATACTTGAGATCTCTTCGAATAACTTCTCTTGAACATCCTCGTGCTTGGAGAGCTCGTAAAGGATACTCGATAGGACAGACGTCACCGTGTGATGACCCTAAATCATCTCCGCACTAAGTTAATCGAACTCAATAATTTAAACTCACCGCAAGTCAGAAAGTGCTGAGCTCCTCATTGATGTACTCGTAAGGCAAATCTTCATCAGTTTTAAATCGCTCCAATATATGTCCAAGCAACGTGGACTTCTTTCTTAATACCGAAATCCGAATTTTCGGAGATATTATCACCGCTTCGTCGCTTCATTTCTTCCCTCTTCTTATCGACGATGGCAGATGTAAAATTCAATATCTCTTGCAGACGTTCTTGCTGTTTTTTGTGTTCAGGCATTAGTTGGTACAAAAATCGCTTCTCTTGATCGGCGAAAAAATGCGCTCTAAGCAATGTGTCTATGTACTGGTAAATAGTGTTCGAATACTTCAAATTTTCCTGTCGGATTTTCTTCGAAATTTAATCCCAGTATACTTTCTACTATTATCAAATCATTAGCAACTCAAGAACATTATTCAATTAACTTACCATATGTAGTTTCCATCGTACTGCTATTGATGTAAGGGCTAACATCCACTTGACGTTCCTG